AATGGTTTCTATGACCCATATGTGGATCCCCAGCTTTGAGTGGAATGAAGCTGTCTAGCAAGCTGTCCAATTAGTGAATGCAAAAACCCTATTGCAGCCACAGTGATAAATAGAAAGTCAGAATGTCATTTTAAGGTTCACTAGCTGGTGAACTGCCAAGGTTGGAAACATTAAAGATTTTGGGACAAGTACTTTTCTAAATACTAGTCTTGAAGCAGTAATAAAATAAATTCAATTCTGTTTTTTTTTGCCTCTATTAATATCTTTTATTTTAATATTTTAACACATTCTTCCCAGGAAAACAAATCAACAGTGAACTATAAAAGTTCTTGATTTGATGACCCTCAATTCCATATGGAAAAGTGATCCCCATTCATTTGGGAAATGTTTTTATGAATGTATGTTTTCCTTTTAATAATCAAAATATGATTGGATTATAACTATCTCAGGAGTTATTTTGCAACAGATAGTTCATCACCAAATGTCATACCCTCACTCTCTCATGACAAAGTTTCAGAAATGGATAATTCTTGTTATGGAGGCATTATTAGGAACTCCACAGATAAGATTACATATTTAATAACCCCCCATCGCCCCGAGGGACTAAGTGCTTGTATACTCACAATAACTTGTTCCTAAATGGTATACATTTGATTATGTTTAGGTTACAGGTTTAATTTAAATGGAAGCAATATTATTCAGGCCCCAAGGTGCATTACAGCCATGCCAAAGCACAAACAATCCCACATAACTGGTATCCATGTCTCACTGAGAGGCAGCCAAGTTCTGCCAAGGGAGGGCCAAACCCAAGGTGCTCAGCAGAATATGCTCCCTGGCATATTCAAGCCTCCTCATAACATTCCAAATGGGAAGAACTTGGAAGAGTTCCCATTGCATTGCTCCCCTTTTCCCCCAACCCAATTTTATATCAGTTCCTTTGTTCTCTACTATGTTGAGCTCAAACCCCAATAGCTCAGTCCTGCTCCTTGGGGGCTGTACAGTCACTCTCCCCTCTGCGGCCCAAGGAATATTTAATTTATAGAAAGTGGAACAGTTCTAACAGGAGAATACCCCAAAGTCCAGTGAGTAGGTCATTCACATGGGATACAGGAGACCTAAGTTCAAGTCCCTGCTCCAAATCAGCCAGAGTGGGGATCTGAAGACAAGTCTCTCACATCACAGCTGAGCTGTCACATATTCTGGACATTCTCCACCCAAATCTAGCTGCCTTTTGTGCAGTTAGGAAAGCTCTGAGCATGCCCACTGGGTCACACAAGACAGACGGGAGAAAACCTAGTCTGAGAATTCCACTGAGACTTAGGCTTGAGTTAGAACTCCAAGCAGCTCGGTGTCATCAGAACTGAGGGTTTTGTGCATGCACACTGGTGGCAACTTAGGCACTTAGGGAATTTAGGTACTTACAGAGTTAAGCAGCAGCTGAGCAGGGGTTTTCCAGATCAAAGTTGTGCTTAAATGTTGGCCTTACCTGCTTATGTCCTATTGTTTATCTAGCCCTTTGACTACTTGTTTGCATAAAAATTAACAAGATGTACAGAGAACTGACACTTTTACAGAGGAAAAGCATTCTGAGTAGAGTTAATTCAAACACATGAAAACCTTCCACAAGTGTTCTTAAAGCATCTTTTCATCCACATTCAACAGCTAGTGAAGGAAATGAATCCTCCAAATTGAACTTCATCAACAGAACAGTTAATAGCATGTCATTAAAAACAACAGCCATTCTTGTCTGGAAGCTTTTCTAGCTTTTAAAAACATAGAAACTCAGAACATAAGGCAATGACCATTTTAATGCAGAGTATACAAGGACTCCAAAAAACTAATTATTAAGATACGTTAAAGTAAGCTTGCATTACCCAGTGGTTTTATTCAAGTAAACAGAGCTGATTAAAATATTTATGGTATGATATGGTCATTTTAACTTTTTTCCCTTTTACATTTCCTTATCAATCTCAAGCTCTTGATTTAATAAATTGATCAGCAAGCCTGCCAAGTTAGAAGGAAGATCAAAGATCCTTTAAAACCGATCTTCAAAAATCTATGGAAAGAACCACAGTATGTGGCAGTACATTATAAATAAGATTTGGTATCTGCAAATGAAATGTAGTAGGAGAAGAAATGAGAAATAGCACTTTCTCGGGGTGCTAGGCACTCAAATAATTTTGTTCCCTAAAGATAAATTCCATTGTATACATGCAATTGCTCCTTTAGAGGTGTAACCTACAAAGGGTGTGTGTGTGGAGGAGGGGTGGGGGGCAGGACATGCACAGAGCAGAACAAGGACGAAGGAAGCATTTCCCTTTACTAAGCATCCTGCAGAGAGAACGGACTGAACTTCATAATTCAATTTTCAATACAAAGTGGCAGGCTGAGAATACGAAAATTCTAATTAAATGGAGAAAACTGATGCTGCAAGAACCAACAAATATTTAAAACCTTGTGCAAATGGGCATAGTTGAGCGCCGTCTATGGGTAAAGGTATTATCACAACCTGAGAAAGCAGGGAGAAGAAACTGATTTATAAAAAATTGAAGTAACCACAAGAAAAGTAACAAGTTACTAAGGGAGTGATATATTTGAAGTGGCAGCCTGCTTGTGGCTAGGAAAAGTTTACAGAAAACAGTAGTTTATTACACTACTGAACAAATAAATAGCAGCTGAAAAACCCCAAGCTAAAATTTTGTTGCCAGTATAAAGAGAAGTATTTTTATAAGCATTATTGTAGTGCATCCTAAATTGTGACAGATTACTGATGATTAGTAAATTAAAGAAAGAAAACAAATCTATACATCTCAAGCAGTACTGTCTATATCCAAAGACCACAGACAAGAGACCTATCAGTATAAGTTTTTACATAAAGACTAGTGAGGAAATATGGGAGAAAGTACGGTATTTCCATACATAGGCATCAGAAGGACAGTTCCAAGAATTTCATAGAATCAGAACTGGAAAGGACCTCGAGAAGTCATCTAGTTCAGTCCCCTGCACTGAAGGCAGGACTAAGTATTATCTAGACAGTCCCTGACAGGTGTTTGTCCAACCTGCTCTTAAAAATCCCCAATGATGGAGATTCCACAACCTCCCTAGGCAATTTAGTCCAGTGCTTAACTACCCTGACAGTTAGGAAGTTTTTCCTAATGTCCAACCTAAACTGCCAGTGCTGCAATTTAAGCCCATTGCTTCTTGTCCTATCCTCAGAGGTTAAGAACAATTTTTCTCCCTCCTCCTTGTTACAACCTTTTATGTACTGGAAAACTGTTATCCTGTCCCCCTTCAGTCTTCTCTTCTCCAGGACTAAACAAACCCAATGTTTTCAATCTTCCCTCATAGGTCATGTTTTCTAGACCTTTAATAAGTTTTGTTGCTCTTCTCTGAACTCTCTCCAATTTGTCTGCATCTTTCCTGAAATGTGGTGCCCAGAATTTTCCAGTTGAGGCCTAATCAGCGCGAAGTAGAGCAGAAGAATTACTTCTCTTGTCTTGCTTACAATACTCTTGCTAATACATCCCAGAATGATATTTGCTTTTTTTGCAACAGTGTTACACTGTTGACTCATTTAGCTTGTGATCCACTATGACCCCCAGATCCCTTTCCACAGTACTCCTTCCTAGGCAGTCATTTCCCATTTTGTGTGTGTGCAACTGATATTTCCTGCCTAAGTGGAGTACTTTGCATATTGAATTTCATCCTATTTACTTCAGACCATTTCTCTGGTTTGTCCAGATCATTTTGAATTTTAATCCTATCCTCCAAAGCACCTGCAACCCCTCCCAGCTTCGTATCATCCGCAAACTTTATAAGTGTACTCTCTATGCCATTATCTAAATAATTCATGAAGATATTGAACAGAACCGGACTCAGAACTGATACCTGTGGGACCCCACTCGTTATGCCCTTCCAGCATGATTGTGAACCACGGATGATTACTCTCTGGGAACAATTTTCCAACCAGTTATGCACCCACATTATAGTAGCTCCATCTAGGTTGTATTTCCCTAGTTTGTTTATGAGAAGGTCATGCGAGACAGTAACAAAAACCTTACTAAAGTCAAGACATAGCACATCTACCACTTCCCCGCATCCACAAGGCTTGTTACTCTGTCAAAGAAAGCTAACAGGTTGGTTTGATATGATTTATTCTTGACAAATCCATGCTGTTACTTATCACCTCTAATTTATTAATCTGGGGTTCAGCTGCCAAAAAGGTCTGTTAAAATGAAGAGATTTACAAAAATAAATTATGGCCAGTGAAAGATTTAATACAGAAAAATTAGTCTTATTCCATCCACAGTTCTCCTGTGGGCTCAGAATCTGTACATCTAATGGATGCTTTACCTGAGCTTAGGCAGCAATGGAATGCTGATCACAGAAGCACTGCCCACATTGACAGAACACAACATGTGAAGTGAAAAGGGAAGCACAGTATGGAAACCATCTTCTGGAAATGAGTCAGTTGCTGGGATCCTACCCAACACTTTGGGATTGGAAGGGGAGTAAGAAACATCTCCATTTGTTCCCAGAAATAAAAGAAGAAAGGAGGGAGTGAAGATATAATGTACCTGAGTCACAAAAAGCCACAAAATAGAGTAATTTTCTGACACTGCAGGATAACATTTGCAATGTAATACTGCATCACTGTGACTGATCATCATGGAACGATGAAGCATCACCACAAAAGCAGAAGCTTTTGCTTCTCCATTCAGTCATGAAATTGTTCTCCAGTTCTTCTTGGTACAACAGTCATACAAACTTTCATCTGTTTTTGAGACTGGTTCCAAAAGGCATTTCCCATTTTAAACTATAGTGATCAACATATACCAGCAGAGTATTTTGAAATCCCACTTTATCATTAGTAGATATTTTGGATCTCTACACAGTATCTAAAAACAAAATCAAATTTGTTCATCCTGTAGATGAAGCCAACTTGCCCACCAGAATTTAGAAATAACCTGCCAGATTAATAAATTAGTTTGCTAGCTTGAGAAACTACAAATCAAGTTTACTAACATATTGGTGACATGGTAATAAAACAAAATATATTAAAAAAAGGAGAGAGATATGTGCTATCTCCACATACATTACTCTTCCTCAAATATCTGTGCAAAAGGAAACTGCAAACACTTTGTAAAATGGCAGTCAGTGAGCCTTTTCAGCCTTTTTTTCCTCCTTCGTGTTTAACTGTAAATGCAGTTGGTACAATAAAAATTAAATGCAGTCTACTACTTGCTCAGATGGCTGATTTAGCAAAGGACTATAAACCATGAAGTGAAACTGAGTGAATCCTGGAACTTTATTGCAGGCAGCACCTGGGAAAGGAAAATAGAAACAAAAGTGACTTGCCTATTCCCTATAGGATTAGTATGTCTGTCATATTTCATCTTCTAAAGATTCAATTATTAATTCTGCTACAATGGTGTAATTTCCTTTTACAATCTGTTTAACCCAACATTGAGATTTCTCAAAAGCATTTTACTTTTCACGTGGAAACAGTGTTCTCATTACGAGTGTAGTGCACTTAATAAATTTAGTAATGTAAATTAGAAAAAATATATCTTAATACTGATGAGTGTAATGTGTTCCTACAACTCTAATCTCTCAAACGCAGAACTGTGGGAAGTAAGATCAAAGATATACAAAAAGCAGTCTACCCAATAAGCCATATTGATCAGCAAATTTTACTTTCTACTGATCTAAGGGTTCACTAATGAGATGCCCATCATAATGGCTGATCTTAGATTGCTTTGAAGCTGTGTACACATTCTGACTGCCTTATGCCATGTCCCAAAGAAGTTTGGGCTTTTTTTGAAAACAACCTTCAAATTAATCATACCTATAAAAATATGAGAAATTGAGGTTGTAAATGGTTTCGAGTATTTACTAACTCTTCCAGGAAAGTTCTGTGCAAATCTTAGATATTAGGCTGAAGAGGGCCAACCTGATTCACTGGGTATTTGGTAGGATACCATTTAATCATATACCTCTGGACCTAATAAAATGCTTGGTATTTGATAGTGAGAGTGGACAGTCCCCTTGCTCCCTCCAGCCCCCAACATTGGTTAAAGTTAAAAAAAGTTGCAGTCTGCGCCTTTAAAATCCACCTCTATGTTTCACTCGTTTGTGTCAAAGTTCTTTGTGTTGAACAAAATATAACAGTAAGATATACCATAACTTCCAGTTGTGTTGGCACAGATAACAGCACCAAAGAAGTATGGAACATACTTCTGGATCCTGGAAATAACTTTCTGGCAAGCTGTAGTTGGATCTGTTCCTGTCCTCATATATTCCACTGCTTGATAGCTGATTTAGGAAACAAATCAGAAGTGTTACCCATTGTGACTGAATATAATCAGAACAGACATTCTAAAATATGATAGATCAGAACTCAATCAATTGCATGTCCGCTTAATATGAACACAGCAAAATAATTTACTTTGGAACACAAATACAAAATTGGAGACTAAGCTACTGATCAACTCCTTCCTGCTTGAAGTCTCCAAGAACTGTTGAATTGTTGTTTTTCCTCATTAATGATTTTTTTTTTAAAGTTGTCTCAGATTTACCAGGGAGCCATCAAAGGCATTTTCTTTTTTAAAGGTGTTTTATTTTAAATGCAAAACCAAACTTAAATACCTTCATATAAACAATACATAACACATAATAATATCATTAGACTAACGATACTGCTGACCAGTTCTACATTTCCACAATGCAAAATCTCAGTCAACAATTTTGAGTAACAGTACAACATGGGCCTAAAAGAGTATTCTGTTTTGTTCACATGAACATATCAAGCCACTATGTCTTGCTACAATAAGAAAAACTCAACTAAGGAGGGAATGAGCTTCAAATCTGGCACTTTGGAGGAGACTACTATCACATTTTGGGAAGTTCCTTATCTCTGGACTCCATATCTTCTGTCACAGAGATACAAGTTACCAAAAAAACCTATCTATTCACCTGAGCTGGATAAAAATTTGAATGTAGAGCTATATCCATAGTTTGTTTCGTCATAAGTCAATTATTTTGAGACAAAGAGTCCTGTGGCACCTTATAGACTAACAGAAGTATTGGAGCATAAGCTTTCGTGTGCAAATACCCACTTCCCATGCGTCTGACGAAGTGGGTATTCACCCACGAGAGCTTATGCTCCAATACTTCTGTTAGTCTATAAGGTGCCACAGGACTCTGTTGCTTTTTACAGATCCAGACTAACATGACTACCCCTCTGATATTTTGAGACATTAACTTATACCATACATCAACATTTCAGAAGTGAAAAAACAAGGGGCAAAATAATTACTGTTTTCTGGACTTTTGACAATTCAGAGCCATTCCACTGTAGACTATATACCCTTGTCAATCTGCACAAGAACAAGCACACTGACATAAACAGAAAGGACACAGACAGAGTCTTCTAGTCCAATCATTTACCAAAACTGGTATGTATAAGCACTGCTTTTTCAAGCTTTTGCAACCAGTTCTTCAGGCTGCCAAAAAGATGACTTAGCATCTTAACTATTAGCTTGTGAGCTGAAATCAATGTAGCGCTATAGCTAGCTTCTCAAAATTCAAAATAACTCAATGAACTATGCCAATGTCCACTCTTATTTCAAGACTGATTTGGAGTAGCTCAAGATCCACTGAGGTCTACACCACTTACAAGTGAATATGAGGTGGCAGGCACTAATTTGTGTTGTCAGAGTTTTAGAGTGGGCAGTTCAGTTGCCTGAATAGTTTGGATCACTGCTGTGAATTATATTGTAAATATGAATGTCTCTGTAACCTTCAGAATGGAGTACTGTAATGTATTCTATTTGAGGCTATCCATGAAGACCATTTGCAAAATTCAGACACCCAGATTTTAAAACAGACTACATCATTTTTGGAAATGAAAAGGCGCAGGCAAATTAAGATGCTGACAATATACAATCCCAATGGTGAAGAAAACAGCCACTTCTGAGACCACTTTCTCTTCTTCCTAACACTTAAGAAGTGTTTTGTTCCCACTACTGAAACTTGAGTGTAGGACACAAGGCATTTTTGGTGGAGTGCATTTATATCCAGAATCCACTCATTCCTTCTGTCAAAGCCCAGGTTTGGCAACATTCACAGGATTTGCAATGAGGTAACAGAAAACATGTTAAAGAACTGTTAAGTGATTTGTTGTCTGTAACAGAGGATGTGGGGCTAGTCTGTTTTTTATGGCCATGTTGATTGGCATGAATAAAAAAGCAAGCGATGGCCAAATATGTTAAGCAACCAATAAAACTGATAAAAAAAAAAAGTGTTGAATTAATAAAGTTATTTGTTTCACAGGAATTCTCTGGCAAAAATGTAAGCAATCTTCCCCAAAAGGACAAACCTGGGCAAAAAGCGCATCATGATATCACCATCTCCGGTGGCTGCCGCTCCTCCAGTTGTACTATCAGCATAGGCTCCAGCTCCAGCTATTGGCGAGTCCCCTACACGACTATATAGAGGAAGGAAAAGAAACCCATCAAGTTAAAATGAAGACAGTTAGTTATAATGGGCCAAATTCTGGTCCCAGTTACACTACTGTGCAACCTAGCTGAAGCCAGTGGGGTTGCATCAGTGTACCAGAGCAGAGCTAGACCCAATATTTACAGGCAAATTCTTAGACAGGGTTCTTGTTTCGATAAATAAAATAAATAAATATATAGCAGCAATGAGAACACACCAGGATTTTACAGTTTCATACTCCAGGAACTCCTAATCTTACATCGTGGCAATGAGAGCACTCCACTCTCAGTAACAAGGACTGACACTTAGACACTCCGACACACTGCCAAGAAAAAAGCAAAACCACCTGGTGAAATAGTGACTGTTCCACAGTTTCAGCCTTCCAGAGTATTCTTCCTTCAAGATCCAGAAGGTTTCTGGTTCAGCCTAGTCCACTTCCACGGTGGATTAGGCAAATTTGGAAAAAGGCACTCATTCTTGAATAAGAGAGTTCATACAGAGTTATTCAGGAATAGGTCCTGAATAGGTCCATGTGTAAACAAGCCCTCATTCCTCGATCCTGTTGTGACTCCTAAAGTTCTGGAGATACTTATTGGGTCAGACCAAATCAAACTTATCATTGACATGAGTTTTTTAAAGTTTCTTTAACTTTAAAGAGTGAAAATGTGTGTCGTTTATCATATATTTTTTAAAAAAAAAGCTTTTAAAGGCTATTACAAGCATAAAGGAACAAACTCAAATCAACATCAAATATACAGGGGGTAATCCTAGATCCACAAATGCTTTAGACAATGCTCATAAAGAACCTATTCTTCCTCCCATTTAAAAATGAAAAAAGCAGGCCTAAAGTAACTTCTACTATATTTATACACAAAGTTGAACAAACAAGCCCACTAAAAATTGTAATTGCAGCAGCACTTTAAAGACCCACCAAAAAATGGGGCCCTGTTGTGCTAGTCCCTGTATAAACATGATCATTCAGATAAGCAAAATATCACCTCACCTACACAGATACTTACATGAAATCAAGGATTACAAATACCAGATGCCTTTTTCTCAAACTACAAATACTAACCCCTGGATTTTGTGGACTGCACCATTTGTAGATGTCCCCACTGCAACATTTCCGGAACCACCAATTACAATCATGCCTATAGATTTAAATAATGGTGAAGCTTAACAAGAATAATTTCTCATAGATTTGTTAAAACATCAGTGTTACAGTTCAGCAGCATGAAAACTGATCATATTTTTATAGCCCTTGTAAGGGCCCTATTTTTAAAATGAAGTTTTACACCTGAATTGCCATTTCCAGAGGGACCTAAATATTGGTATTTTAAAACATTTGAAAATTGGGACATATATAATCATTCTTGGTAAAACAATTATAAGTATAATTTAAATTCTCTAGTGAGTGTTTATTTTATCCAAATTTCAAAGAGTCCAAAAAGCCTCTAGTACAAACATAAACACTCTAAAATACATTAATAAAGTTTAACTACCTTAACCAAGTACAAATGAAGAGGTGACATACCATTCAACATATGACCCACCAATCTTGGCACCCCCTTACTTCAAAGCAGTTATGTAATTCAGGCCTCAATTCAGAAAGATTCTTAAAGCAGTAAGTAGTCCCACTGAAGTCAATTCGGCATGTTCTTAAGTACTTTGATGAATCTGTGTGTGTGTCTCAGCACTTAAGTGGTAATTCTTTGGTAATGAAAATTTTGAAGATTTTTTGCATGACAATCAATCACCAAGTTGGCAAAGATCCAGTCCAAAATGCAGAAGACAAAATTTAACTGACAAAATATAGATAATCTGTACTGAGGAGTTTGAAAATGTATCTCTGAAGTCTGCACTTCTGGAATGTCTGCTATGCCAACAACATGTGAAAAATTAATCAAGAAATACAAGAAATAATTTAATAAACATACAAAATTGCCTACGACCCAACAACAACAAAAAAGCTTTACCAGTAAAGTATGAAAGTCTTTACAAGAATATTACTCCTAACCTATTTTAAGCATACCAATTTGCAAACAATGCTGTTGCTCAAATCAGAAGTTAAAAAGTAGAGGAAAGATTAAAATAGATTCTAGACTTACAAACCCTAAATTGACTGAGGAGTTGCAACCAACTCCTTCAGAACATGTGTGTAAGTAGTACACACTTGAAAATGGTGCTGTACATCTGGTATACTACCAGTTTGAAATATTTTTTTATTTGAACTCAGTAAGATTGAGTTGATCATGAAGCAAAAAAAATGAATACATCTTTTAGCATAAAATAACCAAAGAGAGTTACCAATTGTATCATGATTATGAATATTTATTCTTTTCTGTGAGTTGATCCATTCTTCACTATTTAATTGTTTAGCCTGTTTGTATGGTCCACAGGATTTTGAAGCATCTGGTATTACATTCTGTAATCAATATTTTATTCACATGAGTCTTTAATGTTTCAATAAAGATGCATTTTAAACAAACGACTACAACAAAAATCTAAATTCCACTATATAACTACCGCTGTACAATATTTTAAGATATCTAATGTGCAGTTGTACTGAAGTTACAAAAGCTATGGATATTCTTATTAAGAGATGCATTGATTGGCTTTCAATAATGTGTGACACAGGGTCTGTTAATCTATTAGAGAAAAGTAGCAGAACAATCACAAGACTCATTCTTTGGTCAAAACAAGTTTGCATTCTTCAGCAAGAAAAAGAACCCACAAAAACAAAGTTGCTGTTAGTACCACACTAAGAGATGAAGTAAGACTCCTGTACTTAGGATGACTAAAGTTGGTTAAAAAGTAATACTTTAGGCAGGACATTTTTTCAAGTAAATGAACAGGCAAGAGAGTATGTACCAAATTAAACTGTCTCAATTCCACCACATTTCAGATACAAAAAAGACAACACAATCTACAGATGCGTGGGCTCTGCAAGTATGTAACAGTCTGTGCACAGAGACAAACATGCTAACTTATGTTTGTCATCATCTACAGCTGCCAATTTAGGCTTCAATTTTGGAAAGACTTAAGCCTATGAATGGTCCCTATAATTTTAATGGGACTACTTCCATACGTAAAAGTCACTCGTGCTTAAATACCTGCAAAACCAAGGCCTTAATTCCCAGTAAGGGATTTCATTTAGAGACTCAATTTTAAGTTTCTGCACTCATGCCTCACTGAGAAATCATCCCCTGTTGTTAAGGGTTAGGATTTTCTCCCAAATTCAGAAATGAAAAATCACTGTACTAACATCAACGTTAACAGAATTCTACAAATCAGGCAGCAAACAGGCTTCCAATCCCCAAGTATATCAAGTGAGCGAGAATTCCAGAATTTTTTTTTAAATGTTTAATGGAACATTCTTTGTTCCTTTAATATGAAGTATTTCTTTCTTTAACAAGTCAAGAGTAACAAGCAATGTTGTGTGATCAAATTTCTAAAATAAAACAATTATACTGTACCTTCCAGTAGTTTGGCTGACAGTTTTGATTAAGCCACTTTAAATATATTGAAAGAGAATTCTGTGTGGTTAAATCTTCACATGGAAATCCCATGCTTTCTGCAAACAGTGAGGCTTTAATGGGCAAAAAGACAAATTCAACAATATTGTAGCATGAGTACATTAGATTTATCATACAATATATGTTATGATCAAGATGATATATTAGTTTATATATAGCTCATCCCCCTGAAACTATAGAATATAGTTCCTCAGACAAACGGTATATCAGTGTAATCTCTGATATATCATCAATATCCAATTCCTCCTTTACTGAGGGCACTATATCCCACACTTCTAGTATGTCTTTTTGTCTCTTCATTTAAATATGTTCTCTATGACTATGATGAGAGAGCTTTCTCTTCAGACATGTTGCTGTACAAAGGGAGCAAAACTTTTCAAACAGGACAAATACCATTCAAATCCAAGATTGTGCTATGTGTAACAGGAAAATTTTAATTTAAGCAAGCAAAAATTTGTAAATAGCAAATTAATTACAAAAACACTATCAATTTGATATCTAGACATTTTTAAAATATGAGGTAAGCAGAGAAAGACTCAAATATCAATACCTGCCCCTGAATACCTCTGACAATTTATGTGGCTTTACTATCACACTTTCCTAAAATATAAATTTGATTATTTATTTCTTAATTTTTTTTTATAATTGTTACTGTGTGAAAAACAAACATCAATAGCAGGGGAAACTGACTGTCTATACAGGAGAAGAAATTAAAACAATTGCCACAAATTACAACCAAATGCAAAGTAAATGAACTGAAAAAAAACAGAAAAAAAACTCTATTCATTCATCTTTTAGTTACAGTAATCTTTGGCATCATCAATCTGGAAGAAATCAAATTCAGATACAATTGTTTACAAATTTGTAAGTTACCAATCCCTTCCATGCTTGAATCCTTAGATATTTATGTGAACATAATACATAGTTTTATAAGATTCTTAGGAGTTTCCGCTTATCCAAATATTACAAAAAAAACTTTCACTTGATTTAGTAGTTAATTTTGTATTGCTTTTCTAAAGCTACACATGTATTGGGAGTTTCATGAGCGATAGTTAAGTTATTGAATGTTTACCAACGTTTCAGTATCTAGAGTAACCTAGTAAGAGAGCAAGTGAGCTCAGAAAAGTCTGATTGTTCATGTTTATTGATCCTCCTTTTATGACTTCTGTAGCCTGTTTTTATTCCAGGAAGTGGAGCTGTTGGGCAATGTGCACTAAGATAGCATGGTTTCGTAAAAAAAAGCATCTTTCATACTCCCTAGCTGAGATAATTTGGAGTCACTTAAACTGAAAAGGACTCTGTGGACTGTTTAGGAAGTCAGAAATATAAGATTCAATTATTTTCAATAATGAAAACCAAAAGTAACATGAATTCCCATTAAAATTTTAGTGCCAGAAACAATATACTGTACTTTCCACACATTCAAATACCATCAATTACAGTAAATTTTATATAATGCTTAACAGTTAAGGGCATGGTTGTGTTCTTTTTTCTGTCAATCATTCCAAACAAAAAACAAAAAACCCTGTGCGGACAGAAAAATTAAGGAGATTATCCTAGTTTCAAATGTTTTTATCTTTTACTCTCCAAACAAGAGCAGAAATATGTAGAATGTGGGTATCTGACTATATAGCTTGATAAAAAGCAGAAACAATCCAGTAGAAAAACTCTTACAAGAAGTCATTCAATCTAAGCACATTTTAAGGACAAATTTTTTTAAATTGTTTCTAATACTTTGTGTAGAACAGAAATTTGCCTTCCTCTCCTCCACTGATTTTAATGTTCAAGTCCACACTCTAGTGAGTCTGCTATCCTCTCCCATCAGTGTTTGCTTTACCAGTTCCCAGTGTCACTCCTCATATTGGCTTCCAACATCCCTGCTCTCATCCCGCTGAGCACTTCCAGAGAAAATTGTATGACCATTCCAACTTCCTTCACAAAGAATTTGTTTTCCCCCCCTTTCATCTTCTATACCCTTCTAACACATGACACTGAAGTTTGTCACCCTCTCTGACTTGCTCTTCAAACCTACCTCCCTTATTCTCAGTCATTCTCAGACTTCATTCCTGGTATTCTAGCTTGCTCTGCTATTCCCAAACATCTTTTAGTTTACCCCATCCCAAACCTCTCTTTCGCCTTGAAGCACAAAGTCTATTGTGACTTTCTTTATTTCCCACTCTACTCATTCCCTCCTGGATCCCTTGTATGCTACTGATACTCCTCTTACCACAGCCACTAGTGACCGCCTCCTGGTCAAATCAAAAGGGTCTGTAAAGCATCTCAAACTCCAGCCCTCCCTTTCCAGACCTAGAGAAGTCTTCGCATCAACTACAGCAACTGTCATCTCTGTCTTGTCTCATTTTCTTTATTCCATCCAAAATGCTACTGCCAAATCCATCGTCCTCTCCTATCAATGACCACGTCACCTCTTTTTAAATATCATCTTTGCCTTCATGACTTCCTCCATGCAGCCCCCTACACTTAAAAAACCCTTAAGACAACTAATCTTCCATTCCCCATTCAAAGTCTTTCTAGGAACATTTCTTCCATAAAGTTTAAAGATATTAATCCACCAATAAAGTATTAAGTTACCTTAAGAAGATGAAACCTCCACTGTTTATAGAATTTATCACCATGTGGTGTGATGTGCCAAGCTGTACAGTACCTGATTTATTTAAAAGCTCTTTGAGGCAGAAAGTCTTCATGTATGTTTTTAAATTGCAAAGTACAATGACTGTGCTCAATAAATATGAAAATGAATTTTGAAATAAAATTAGGTACCAAATTCTGCCATTCATTATTTTAGTAAAGCTTCCCTTGTATTTTAAGTGAAATATTGGCATATACCAGCTTCCATTTATATAGTGTCTTATGTCAAAACATCTTCACTTAGTATCTGTATTTTCAGTGATATTAAAACAGCTCTGGCATTAAAAGTTAAAAGTTGCAGCTGAATCTGTAGAGGGAATACAAAACCCTTTGTTTTAGTTCAAGTAGAAATAGCAGAATAAAAAACCCTGATAATTGTAGATATTTAATAAACTTAAAGAAGGATAAATGCTTTTCAATTACTTAATAGCATTCATTTGAATATATATGTGGGGGATTCCTCTACCATCAAGATTCATCTATCGTAAGTCTCCTTATTGTATAGTGATAATTGAGACAAGAGTAAGAATTGGAAATAACTGAATAAAGTACATAATTACCTGACTCCCCCACTAATAATGTATGCTTAGTATGCTTAATCACTTTCCGTGCTACACCAATAGCATTTTTTATACGTCTGAGATCTGCTACTGCCCCAACTTCTATGGTGTTGCTGAAACAAGAAGAATATGGAAGTGAGAAATATTTAAGGTGTGCATATATTAAACAGTAACAAAGGATAATAAAACAATTACATATCTTTTGCTATATACACTTTGTGCTTGTCTACAGTAAGAAGTTGTACCATTTTATCTATACTGGTATAGTTAAAGTAGTACAACATCCCTGAAAGCAGTTATATCAGTATAGAAGTACATTATACTGTACTGGTTGAAATCATCTTTGTACTGATATAAATGCATCCATATTCGAGTTTTACTAGTGTAAGTATTTCAGGTATAAATAATTGCACCCCTAAGTAAACCAGTTACTCTAGTAAGACTTTCAAGTGTAGGCCAGACCTAAACAATTAATAAGGTCTAAAAGACATAACACAAAATTGTCATGAAAGTAAAATTTGTATGGAAATTAAAGAGCAAATGGTCCTCTATTAAGATTATGCTTAAACCTTCAGATATCCCAATCCTGCAGAAGTAAGCCTTTCTCTGCCTCTTCAAGCAAACAGTCGTATAGGTGCTGTACATTATGCTTCATTTTCAGGGAGAATCTCTACTCTACTCCCAGGAACTCCATACACATCCCTTAGCCTGATTGCTAGATATGGGAGCTATCGGAAATTAATGTCAGATTGCAACAAAAATGCTTAGTTAGCTTCCAAACATCCTGGTGCCATGGCAATCTAGTCCCTGCTTGATTGGATATTTCCCTCTTTCTACTGTACCCATGAACACATCAATATTAGAGTTTGAGTGCACTGTAATGTTTACTGAACACATCAACACGATGGCATGGTACATATAACAATGCTTACATCATATTGAACTGTACTAAAAATCCTTAGGATTATTCTCTTCTTCAAGTAACTTTCTTACCCATCCATAATCATGGCATCCAATGTTGTTTCTCCATGTTCATCTGGACTTCCTCCAAACCCCACACTTCCATCACACTGATCAGTCTCACACTGACCGCAGCCTCTCTCTACTGCATCCAGCTCAGAGCCTCCTGACTGTAAGGTATACCATGCTGTAACACAACACAAACACCTGGTCAGTTAAAATAATTACTGTCTAATATTTCATTTAAATTTATAAAAACAAATACACAAGAAACTACACCAAGTATGGCAGGTAAAAGTAAACTGTATAATATGTTGTTATTCTTAGGTGAAATCTAGAGAAAGTGTTATTCAGGATATAAAAAGTCATCATTTTTTGCATAATTGGCTAATGTTTCTGAATGGGAAGTGATGGGATATTTGTGTGAATGAGGAGTTGTTGCTATAGTGTCCACAATTATAGTGTATTTCATATACTAAGTAAAAAAAACCCAATTTATTGTTGTGTAGTTAAAGCACTCCTTCTCTCCAAGGCGTGAATGGCACTAAGGAAACACATACAAACTCTTTCACACAGGTATATCCAAGCCCACATGGAGTCTAAATTAAGTCTGTGTAGCTATGCAGGATCATGGCATATTTAAAGATTTTTTTTAATATACAATAGGAAAATGTTATATTAAAAGCATTTCTTAAGAGCCATTTCAGAGAGAATTAACCATAGTTAAAATGTGCCAGGCACAAAATTAAACCTAACAGTGTTTAAAGTATATATAAAAAAACAAACTAACTAAAAACAATATTTATGCAGCACTAAAAATAACCATCTCTTTCCCTGCTCCCTCTCTGTCATCTATCCTTTGAGATCTAGTTTGTGGCTTGAAAAAAGCCTTTTATGTGAGTCAACACAAATGGCTCTGCTGAACTTGGCCCACAGACCTTGATCATGCAAACTGCTTCATGGGGTCAGAGCCCTGAGTGTATGTGAAGCCACAATGAAGTCAATGGATTCCCACATGGGTGCAGAGATCCTCCCCTCTGGAACAAATGGCAGGATTAGGAGATGGGCCCAGATCCTGCAAATATTTATGTGCATATGTGATGTTGTATAATGGGGAAGGTGATCGACTACACTAATATGGTCACCACCACTTTTGCAAAATTGTGATAAATCTTGTATAAAATATACCTTGTACGGTATCATTGAAAAACTTATAATCTGCTGTGTATTGTTATCTTGTTATAATGTGTGTATCAATATTGGATATGGAGTTATGACATTTTGCTATGTGTTTGTAACTCAAACTTCTTGTGAGTCTCAGAAGCACCCACAGGTTAGCCCTTCAGGAATAACAAAAGGAGCTGTGAAGACACGCTAGCAATAGCACACAAAAGGTGCAAGCAAAATTTACAATTCATATGAAGAACTGCTGAGCCTGCACCTACGAAATGAAGCTAGGAAACAGCTAGAATTTTTCCAGAAAGGAGGTCAAGATATAAAAGGCAAGAACAAAAAGCACCTTTTACCTCTTTCTTCTTTCCTACTACACCTCTGGACTACTGAACTTTGACAACGGAAAATTTTGAACAAAGGATTGAGGTCCCCGATTCTCTCTGGTTTGCCCAAATAGTCTTATAAAAAACTATCTGATATAACATACCTACTAGCATTTTGGATTTACACGCTTTAATTCATCCGGAATTTAAATTTACCTGCTTTAAACCACTGCATAACTCATTTATTTTCTTAGTTAATAAATCTTTAGTTAGTTTACTAAAGGATTGGCTGCAGCGTTGTATTTGGTGAGATCTGAAGTGTACCTTGTCCTGGTGGTAAGTGACTGGCTTTGGGGGCTGTAAAAACTCAGCGTGTGGTGATTTTTGGTTTTAATAACCTTTCAGCACAATAGTCCAGTTTGTCTGGGTAGTAAATGTGACTGCAGCACTAAGAAGACTAGCTAAAGCAGGGGTGGGCAAACTACGACCCACTGGCCGCATCTGGCCCGTCAGATCTTTTAATCCGGACCTTGAGCTCTGGCTGGGGAGCAGGATTGGGTGCTTGCCCCACTCCGCACATACCGTGGCTCCATGCGGCTCCTGGAAGCAGTGGCTTGTTCCCCCTCTGGCTCCTACACGTAGAGGCAGCCAGGGGGCTCCGCATGCTACCCCCGCCCCAAATGCAGGCTCTGCAGCTCCCACTGGTCAGGAACCATGGCCAATGGGAGCTGAAGGGACAGTGCCTGTGGATGGGGCAGCCTGGCTGTGCCTCCGCGTAGGAGCCGGAGCGGGGACATGCTGCTGCTTCCGGGAGCTGCTTGAGGTAAGCGCCGCCCAGATCCTGCACCCCTGATCTTCTCTTGTGCCCCAACCCCCTGCCCGCCCTCTGAACCCCTCAGCACCAACCCAGAGCACCTTCCTGCATCCCCAACCCCCTACCCCAGCCCTGATCCCCTTCCTGCCCTCCAGGTCCCTCAGTCCCAGCCTGGAGCACCTTCCTGCACCCCAAATCCCTCATCCCCAGCCCCACCCCAGAGCCCACACCCCTGCCGGAGACCTCACCTGCCCCGCATCCCAACCCCCTACCCCAGGCCAGAGCCCCCTCCCACACTCCGAACCCCTCTGCTCCACTCCCAGCCCACAGCCCCTCCTGCACTCATTTCTAGCCCTACCCCAGAGCCCACACTCCCAGGAGAGCCCTCACCCCAACCCTCAATTTTGTGAGCATTCATGGCCCACCATACAATTTCCATACCAAATGTGGCCCTCAGGCCAAAAAGTTTGCCCACCACTGAGCTAGACTGTCAGTGGTTTTATGGTGAGCTAGTAAAGTGACCCAGGAGCACATTTACCTTGCTGGTTTGGCCAAATCTAACTATAGGATATACCACCAATTTGGAAGTGTTTGCCAAGTTTCGACAGTCTGACCTAATACTGGCACTCTCCATTGTGACTAGGGTGACCAGACAGCAATTGTGAAAAATCGGGACTGTCCCTATAAAATCAGGACATCTGGTCACCCTAATTTTGACCTTCACTAGACAAGGGTGACAGCATACCCAAACTTTACTATTCTGAGTAATTCCCCCATTGTTTCTGTAAGACTACTCAAAAGTAATCAATTTAAGCATATGAGTAAGTGTTGGCAGAAACAGAGCCGTATATTGCAAGTGAGATCTTTCATTGCTGACAAAATAAGGTTTTAACTCTGTTAACTAACAAGAAAGAATTCATATCAAAACTACGGTAGTCTAGCTTAGGTGCATTTTCTAAATGTGTCTCTACAAGCTATTCCTATCTTTGTGGGTGACAGTAGGAGTCAACAATACACATCTTATCTGTAAATTGCCATATATGCCTCCTACAAGAGGTAAAACGGAGTAAAGAAAAATTTGATAATGGTCAGAAATGCTGCTGTCTAAAGAAATATGGGGGATGGATTCTGAAAAGACACTGAATTTTAATATATATATTTTAAGCACACTTTTTAATATCTATTCAGATTATTAGAAGTGAAAGTAATGTAAAAACTCAAGTTTGTGCCAATTTATGGTGTTTTATGGTCCAAACTGAGAAAATGCAAAAAGGAAAATAAACAAATTACCTTTATGTGTAGGTTCCTAATAGTGTGCTATTTGGGGGAATGGTGTTGTTGGTTTTTTTTATTATTAATTATTATTATTATTATTATAGTTACAGACAACAACATAGAAACACTCCTGTTACTCTTTGGTTTGCAAAGCTTTTAATAAAATTTAAATTTTGGGCCAGATGCCATAGGGAAACATCCCATCCTCCGTGTTTAACTGAGGCATTTATAGTTTCACTTCCTATTGCTTGAACACTACCATTACTAGTTTGGCCCCCGAAACGTAGAGAAGTTGGCTTAGGGACTTCTTTGGGATAGTCTATCCACAGCAACTATAGCCATTTAGGTAAACCAGCACTGGGAGGAAAAAACAAATCCCATCTCTAGCTCTATCAGTACACCGGCGTGCACGACCAGGGCCAAAGGTTTTCTGAATACCTGAACTAGCAATACCCCCGAGAACAGCATCTCCCCCTGCTGCCCAGCCTCCCCCACGCGATCAAGGACAGCAGTGCAAGACTGAGTCACAGCCACGCCACCCCAGTGCACTCCAGGGGCTGCGGGGAGTGCCCCGGGCTGCACCGGTCCGGGCGCTGTACAGGTGCGAAGGACAGGAAGAGTGGCCGCGCCCCCAACAACCACCCCCACCCCAGCTCCCGGCCCGCAGGAGCCGGCCAGCCCTGCCGGAGCAGCATAAGGCAAAGCCCGGAGCCAGCGACACCTGTTTCCGTTGCTTTCCTAAATGCCCAGGTGTTGACGACTAGCGGCAGCGCAGCCAGACCCGCGCCCGCCGCCCCGGACACAGGCAGCAGCAGCAGGAGAAGGAAGCGGAGCGCCCGACGCGCGCCGAACCCCATCGCCGCGCGCCGGCTGCACTCATACATCATCCGGGAAGCGCGCGCCTGAGCTCGTGACTAATCACGCGGCCACAATTTCACAATCTCACCCGGAAGACGCGCCCGACCGCCAGGGAGGGGAAGGAGCTGCCACGGCTGAGCGAATAGCCCCGCCCCCTCGCCGTTCCGCGCTCCCTCCCTCCGCTGTTACCACCCCCAACCCCCTCCTCCCCCGGCAGAGCCCATGCGCTGCTGAGCTGTGGACTGGGCTCAGGTCCCTCGCGCCCAGCGCACTCAGTGTAGGCGGCTGGTGCCAACAGGGCAGAGCTGGGGCGGCCGCGGGGCTGCCCCCCACCTGCACCAGGCTGAGGTGTGAGCTGGACCACCCCTTGTTCTGTGCCCAGGTGCCAGCTCTGACTCACCCTGGGGTGGGGCTGCCCAGGGTCTCTCACCTGAGTTCTGTGAGTTAGAGCTGGTGCCATGGCACAGGAGAGGGGGAGCCGGCCTCGAGGTGATGCCTTATGTCCCAGGCATTGGGACCCATGCTTTGAGGCTAGGGCAAGGTGTGGGCAGTCACCTCACCCTAACTCAGGGCAGGCACCGTTGCCAGCCAGGAAAGCACCTGTGCAACTTAGATGACTCTTGCAATGCACAGAGCAGGCCATTGCCATCTGAGATGTGAATGTGTGTTGTTTATTTCATTATGTTTCAATTATTATTATTTGTCTTGGGGCACTGCTGTTGTTGCCACCTCTCATAATATTTGATTTTTGTCTGAAAACAGCAACTCCAGGAGTTGTGATTACCAGGAGAATTTCAGGTGTCATTTAAAAAAAAAGGATTTTAGCCATCATGGTTGCAGAGAAAAGCTTGAAAAGGGGAACCCTAAAGGCTCACAAACCAGAAGGCAAATAAAAAGTTTTTTTTTTTTTTTAAATCTTATGATTTTTAAGCCAGTGTCATGATTTTGGGAGGCCTGACAATTAAACTGAAGTTTGTCAGTGATTAAGAATGAACACAATAAATCAGGTTCCCATGCTCTTGGGGAAAAAAAGGTAGGCTTTTTCTATGTATGATCATAAGATTCATGCATCAGCTTCTAAGTGCCATTCTGCTCTTGTATGAGTGTATCTTCTAGAGGGGAGTGTTTCTGTGATGGGCTTTAACTAGTTTTCATGATCTTTCACTGTTGTGGCAAATCATTTATTGAAGCTGACTTTATAAAGTTTCTCTTTTTAAAAGAAAAACAATCACAATGTATATCACATATTTTCATAATCCTGCCAACTGTGCTAAAAAATTACTGATTAAAAAACACCTGCAACAAATAGTTTAAAAGTGTTTAACATGTTACTATAGCAGCTTGAATTATTTTAAAGCCCCAGGCTCACATGATGTTAGCACCTCAGACACAGTCAATACAAGACACTGATTGTGTTCAGAATAATTGCATACAAGCAACCAGTTAATACTTATGAACAACAAGAAAAAACAACTGCTGCTCTCAGAACTGGGATGTTATAAAGGTATTGCAGAAATACTTTTCCATTCAATATCATTGGTCTTCTGGAATACATCATGGGCCAAATTCAATGAAATTGTACCAAGAATGTATTTGGCCTCATATAGTTAGACAATTCATCAGAAAGAAGGAAGATGAGATGTCTGGGTCTTACATATGGCAAGGTCAAGTTTGTAGGCATGCATAAATTGTCAGTACACCCAAGTTGGTTTAAAAAGCCTGCAGCTATATTATTATTATTATGACAAAATAATCCACAAACTTTGGAAGGCTGCTGTAGTCACCAAGCAACAGTATTATCCTTTATTACAAAAGTCAACAACATAATAAAACACACTTAAAATATTGGGTCTGAACACAAGAATAACTCGACTTTAGCTTCCAAGATTTCCCGAGAGTAAAACTGCAAGAAACCTTATTCAGGTAAATACCCTGTTAGCTAATTCATTTCTGATATTAAAGTTCTTATTTCTGCTATATATCTCTTTATAAGACTTGCAGGGAAAAGATAAGGGCAAAAAAAGTATGAGTTACTGCTAGCTTAAGGGAATAAGGAGAAAGAATTACTACCAAGAAAGTAGGCCTGTTAATAAATGAAAAGGAAGACAAAATTAACCACTATTCTAAATTAGCTATGTTACTGAACAGCTTGTATAGTTCATCTTTTAAGAAGATAAATAAAAAAGGAGTATGGACCATTATGAAGTAATGAAGAACTTGCCTACATAGCTTTTGTGCACAGGAAAATACAGATCATGATGAATGCATCTGCATCATGCAAGCCTAGAGGGCAGGACATTTAAGGAACCTGAATGTTTGGTAGGACACATGACAGCATGGCATTGGGACATGATGCTTGTTTAAATGTAGATTTGGTTGGTTTTCTTTCTATGACAGTTCTTTGTAAGTGGTAGTCAAAATTTAGTAACATAAATGATTAAGTATCAGAGGAGTAGCCGTGTTAGTCTGTATCCACAAAAACAATGAGGAGTCCGGTGGTACCTTAAAGACTAACAGATTTATTTGGGCATAAGCTTTCGTGGGTAAAAAAATCACTTCTTCCGATGCATGGAGTCAAATTATTAATCTATCTCATATAGAAGAATGTTATTATTTATTACTTGTATTGCAGAGCTCCTTTGTGCTAGGCACTGTACAAACACATAGGGTCAAATTCTGGCCTAACTAATACCAGTGTAAAACTAATAGTAAAGTCAGTAGAGTTACTCTGGATTTACACCAGTAAAACTGAAAGCAGCATTTGGTCAGCATCACTCAAGGCCAACTATTGGTGCTACATCCATCTACTGTAAGTTATTGAACACTTGATTTTAATTCTGCCTTTGTTGTAAACTGTTTTAAAAAATATTGTTGCCTTTGAAAGTTGTTTGTACCTACACAGATGTTGACTGTATTCTGATTCTGATTTTCTTTCTGGATTAATGGAACCTCATCGCAGTCTGCCACTATCTTGAGTGTTAATTGCACTCTACAGACCATAGCTAAATTAGAATGCTGGTAGAGGTAGGAGATGCCACATCTAGTGAACAAAGTGATGATCCAGAGATTGAATCCTGTTAGTAAATTATAAGAAGAGACAATATTCTAGAGAAAGACTTTCTTTGCAAAAATCCACAGTTCACTATAAGATGTGCACCAATCAGCTCCTTGGTTGATTGGTACTGAGTAAATAATAAAAACAGGGAGAAACTCACCTCTCCTACTAAGAGCATCTCTTCCTACAGTGGCCAGATTCTGCCGCAAGTTACAACTGTGCAGTCTCATTTGGGACCATCTGTTCAAAAACTGCACGTCTAGCCATGCTTTGTTTGTCTAATGTTTCACATTTTGATGCCATGAAATCCAATTGATTTCTGTATTTGTAGTTTGTAACTTGACATTTTTAACCTTGATTAGGCTTTATGACTTTCTGAAATGAATACACCCATACAGAGACAAAAACACCAAACTAGAGAATATTTTCCTTGAGTGAACCAAAAGAGGTAATTATTATTTGATTAGCATTTGTTGTTGAAATTTGCATAGCTGTACATTTTTGCTAACACTGAAGATTTGTGATACATAAGCCATTTTTAAATTAAATCCATCTTGCTACTAATTGAATAGATTTTTTATTACCTTATTATATTATCTTGATCTATTTAGAGTAGTTTTGTGGAAGTAGATGTCCTCCATTAGTCCGTAATAAAATCTATTGGAGGAAATCATGTTTTCCTTCCTTCCTGTTACTGTTGTAAATATTCTGTTTCATTTTTAAAAAAATAAAAAGTTGTACCAGATTCCCAGATTATGATGGCTCACTGTCTTGTTTTTGTAGCTGTTCAAAGTAATTATTGTGTCTTATATGTTCTTACAGTAATAAGTTGGCCTGTTGTGCTCTTTTGTCTCAAAAGAAGCTACAGTATGTGTAATATATATCCCATTTGTATTTTCAATACTGGTCCACTGCAGTAATAAAGTTGTCATACTGAACATGTAATGGACCACTTTACATTGTTAGCACTGCCTTTTTTATTACAACTGTTTGTAACTTTATGTCTTCATTAATGTGATCCATTGCAATAATAAAGTTGTCGGACATCTCCTGCAACTTACTGTTTTCTACCCCCAACCCTGAAAGTTATTTTGGCTTTGGCAGTTCAGTTTACTTTCTATTTCAATGTTCATATTGAGGTAACCAGAAATATGGCTACTATAATCATATTATTGAATAAATGTGGCAGTTTATGAGATCTACATCCATTTTATATAACTTTGTTATGATTTGGTATCAGTAAATTTAAATGTGGACTTCACTGAATTAGGAATGCATTCAACACTGAAAACAAACATACATCGGATGATATGCTCCATTGACATTTTTGTGTACCTGGTATCCAAATGCAATATACAATTACTCTGGGGGTTAACATACAACATTTAGGCCCTGATCTTGGAAATGTACGTGTGTTGAAATCAATGGGTTCTGCCCACATGCTTCTCTTTGCAGGATAGGGGCCTTAGCAACTCTTTGTTCTTATTGCAGACTGGTGCCTTTTTGTATTTTGGAAAATATGCTACTTTTGAACAAGTGTTTTTTTTAATTAAAAATGTTCTCCTTAGACCCCCAAAAACTGTTCTGTGTAGGCTATTTGATTGAGAAAAAGGCAAACAGTGCTATTTTCTCAGGATTCATTTCTCATGAATAGTAATAAAAATATATTTTAGAGTTGTCTATTAACTACCGTGTTTCCCCGAAAGTAAGACATCCCCCGAAAATAAGACCTACTTCCAGTTTTGCCTCTTGCTGTAATATAAGGCATCCCCCGAAAATAAGACCTCCTGGATAATAAGGCCACCCCGGAATATAAGGCCCCGAAGCTCCAGGAAAAATAAGACCTCCCCTGAAAATAAGACCTAGCGCATCTTTGGGAGCAAAAATTAATATAAGACACTGTCTTATTTTCGGGGAAACAGGGTAGTGAGTTTTAGCTTATTTGGAAAATGCTTTTGTAGCTGCCAAGAGATTTAGGCCCAGATTT